CTGTATAAAAGACACCTGGGAGCCAGAAATCTGTCTGATTGAGAGGGGGTCAAATACTTATTTCCCTCATTAAAATGCAAATCAATTTATTACATTTTTGACATGCGTTTTTCTGGATTTGTTGTTGTTATTTTGTCTCTTACTGTTCAAATAAACCTACCATTAAATTTATAGACTGATCATTTCTTTGTCAGTGGGCAAACGTACAAAATCAGCAGGGGATCAAATACTTTTTTCCCTCACTGTATTTATTCTGTTCATGCAAACATTTTGTAAGAAAAAAAATGTCCCGCTGATGCTGCCCTGGGGTGCAATGCTTAGCACACGAGAACCTGCAAAACCAGCGGTCTACCGATTTCTATCGCACGACGTGGAAGATGAAACAATGGGTCAAGTTTCTAAAATCCCACTCTCTCTCTCACTACCCATGTTAACCACCTCGCCTATTCTGCACGAAGTCGTGGGTTCAATTCCGACCATGGCACCTGCATATTTGGAGTTTGCAACTCTCTCTCCCTGTAGTCGCGTGGATTTTTCTACGGCTCCTCCGGTTTTTCCCCCCTCCACATTTAGAATTAACCACGCGGTTTGCGTATCTGTTCACGTGATAAGCTACTTCATTGGGCTACCATGTGTGATGGTGTGTGATGGCCCACCATCTAGCTCCCTTCTGTAGGGATGCCTCTAGTGGCGTCAGGGAGCAATTGCAGGGCTGCACCTTGGCATGTTTTACTGAAGTGACAAATTGTTCACAGTTTTGTTAAATCGCTTAATGCGTGTGTGTGTGTATTTACATGTCTGTGCAAGGTGCTCCTCATTCATTAATTAATTGAATCAATCATTTGTTATCTGTAACCTTGGATTTGAAATAATCTCAGCAAAATATGCAAATAATTTGTTTCACGGGACTCAATAGAATAGCCTCGGGCCTAATGGAATTCTAATATCATCTTAACATGACTCGACTGTGCCCTTCAGCACGTCGCTTGCTTACCTTTCCTCTTATATGTTGCACTCCTATCGCTTGCTGAACTTGCCCCCACTATACTTGATATCTGTGAACAAAGAAGAGCTTCATAGCTCATCGGATTCCTCCAGTCTCAGTAATGATTATGATCGCTATCGAGTATTTAAGCGGTGCAATTGCCACTTTAGAGCTCAGTCGCCAAATGGATAGAGGGGAGACATCGCCAGTTTGGGAAGCGCCGGAAAGGGAAATTGGACAGGGGCGATCCCCAATATAATGCATTTTGCCAAGACATAATTCACTCATGCCACGCCACTGGAGCAGTACAATACGTGGCGTGTATTATTGAATACAAAACATGTGTAATCATCATTGGGAAGCGCTGCTCAATACACAATGACTCCAGGATTGCATGCAGTGGACATAGCAGTCGAGGCTGCAGGCGACGTGCTACTACGCTTGGGCCCGATGGCCCAGAGGAACGACTTGAACCCATTAAACTATATATATACATTTTTAACAGGTAAGGCCCACTGACCTATGTTGCTGTTTTTCAGAAGCGACCTGGCCACAAATGATAGCTCAGCGGAGTGGCTTGTCACGTGGGAATTTATTGCCCTAGCCAAATACTCTAAAACGCGTGGTGATGTTGATTCTAAATGTGGAGGGGGGAAAAGCAGAGTGGCCCGGAGACAAATCCACGCGACCACGGGGAGAGAGAGAGAGAGAAACGCAAACTCACACATTCTCAGCAGCATTTCTCTTTGGTTATTTTGGTAAAGTCTCCCCGTGGTCGCGTGGATTTGTCTCCGGGCCACTCTGCTTTTCCCCCCCTCCACATTTACAATCAACATCACCACGCGTTTTAGAGTATTTGGCTACGGCAATAAATTCCCACGTGACAAGCCACTCCGCTGAGCTATCGTTTGTGGCCAGGTCGCTTCTGAAAAACAGCAACATAGCTCAGTGGGCCTTACCTGGTAAAAAAAAAATGTATATATAGTAAAGTCACGTAGAAACAAAATAAATTTAAAGAGTAATCCCTGCAGCCACGAAAGCTTCAAATCAAGTTTTTATACAGTAGCAGGCGTCAGGATCGGGATCAAATCCACGACCTCCTGTATCCCAGGCAAGGTAGTCAACATCTCGCACACCGTGGTGCCCGTCGTCGGGGCTACGGTTTGGGGCCGTCCATAAATGACGTCACGAGATTTTGGACGATTTTTGACACCCCCCCCCTCGTCACACGGCGTCACAACAGTCAGACCCCCTCAAATATGACGTCACAAAGCTCTGCCCCCCCCCCCAAAACCATATTTCCATTTTGAAAATAAAACATGCTTCAAATCGCTTTAAACTATTGTCATTGTAGTCCGTATTTAATGTGGCGCTGCACTCTGATATTGTCGGAGTGTTGTTATAACAATTTGTGTTGTTTTAACAATTCTATATTTATTTAAAGTTGCGTATTTTGATGTGACGTCACATTTCTCACCCCCCCCCCCCCTCGTCACACATCGTGTCTGACCCCCCCCCCCCCCCAGATGCGTGACGTCATTTATGGACGGCCCCTTTCGGGGGAAAGGCGGACAGGCGTCACACCGCCGCTGCTGTGCTGACATCGCAGTCTGGGATGCGAGTGACCTGATGGACTCATTTCGCTGTTGCCATAACCGTGTTGTTGTTATTTGTGCCTTTGTTTGTTTTGGTGCCATTGCTTAATCTCTTTGTTTATTTGTGTTTAATTTTGAATGGCAGTAGGGGTCTTCATTTGCTCGGTGGTGGGATTTTGTCCTTGTATCTAATTAATGTGATGTACAGCGTTATGAGATGCAATTAGCACGAATGACGCTATATTAAAATTAAATTATTGTTGTTTATTCATCCCTAGCACCAGGGCCCGTGCCAACCACTCACCCACCCTTACATCACCGTGTCCATGTATTGAGCAATGCATAGAATTCGCGGGGATTTTTTTTGTTAACAGAATCCCACATATGCATAGTACATCTCTTTGGGGGTGGAGCGGTTGGCGCAGTGGTTATCGCGCTGTTTGGCGATAAACTTGGCGATCTAACGTCGATTTCCTGGACGTCGGCTGACATGGGTGGGGAGCGATATCTGCCCCATTCCACCAATCCGTTCTTTGTCCAGCTTGGTGAAGTATGTTCAAGCCGCCCCTCGCGACCACCTCTGCCTTCATCCAGCAACGGATCGACCCAAAGGCCTGCAAATTGTTAACACACGCAATACGAAATGGTACGACATATGATTACATTTAGGGGTTTCAGTATTTATCTCCAAAATTCAAATCGTAAATATGACAGCATTAACTAGAGAATGAATATTTTGATATGTATAAAAGTGAGACTGTTTGATAAATCTGCTGGTTATTAATGGGATATGGTATCAAGGTATTTAATATCATCCACCTTGAAACAGTCAGCCAGCCTTGGATATAATTTTCTGCTTCAGAACTCATTACAGCGCCATATGACCACGCGCTTAGCAACGCGCGGAGCTTCTGTGCGCTACGAGTGTGTGCGTGCGTATGTGCGTTACGTGTTTGCGTGTATGTGCGTTACGTGTGTGTATGCGTAATGAGTGTGTATGTGCGTTACGTATTTGCGTGTATGTGCGTTACGTGTGTGTATGCGTAATGAGTGTGTATGTGCGTTACGTATTTGCGTGTATGTGCGTTACGTGTGTGTATGCGTAATGAGTGTGTATGTGCGTTACGTATTTGCGTGTATGTGCGTTACGTGTTTGTGTGTATGTGCGTTACGTGTTTGCGTGTATGTGCGTTACGTGTGTATGCGGGTACGTGCGTTTCGTGTTTGCGTGTGTGTGCGTTACGTGTTTGCGGGTGTGTGCGTTACGTGTTTGCGTGTATGTGCGTTACGTGTTTGTGTGTGCGGGTATCTGCGTTACGTGTTTGTGTGTGCGTGTATGTGCGTTACGTGTGTGTGTGCGTGTATGTGCGTTACGTGTGTGTGCGCGTATCTGCGTTACGTGTGTGTGTGTGCGGGTATCTGCGTTACGTGTTTGTGTGTGCGTGTATGTGCGTTACGTGTGTGTGTGCGTGTATGTGCGTTACGTGTGTGTGTGCGTGTATGTGCGTTACGTGTGTGTGTGCGTGTATGTGCGGTACGTCTGCGCGCGGGCCACGCACTGTGCCGTGCCAGCCTTCACAGGTACTCGCTCGCAGCACTTGACCCAAAAGTATGTTTAGGCTATACGGGGGATCTTTGTCTTTGTTGCGGGGTGAGCGGTAGCGCTTAGCGCGCTGCGCTACGAACCCTGGCGAGCCGAGTTCGATTCCCGCTCACGGCCAACACCGGTGACGATTATCTGAAACGGTTCCTGGGCCTCCCCCAGGTCGACTCAGCCTCAAATGAGTACCTGGCGCAGAGTGTGTAGACATCGCCACGAGGGAGACAAAGGCGGTCGGGCGTGGCGCTGGCCACCCACCCCCCTCGTGTGCCGTGCTGGCCTTCATAGGTGCTCGCTAACAGCGCTTGCTCATACAGTCTGTTACAGCCTATACTGGAGATTCTCGTCTTCGTTTCCCACTACTTGTGCCCCTTCATATTACACCGTGGGGCTGTGTGAGCGTGCCTGTGTGAATGCGTGTCTTGAGTGCGTGTGGCCTGGGTGTTTGTACGTGTGTATGTCTGTATGTATGCGCGAGGCAGTGCACGTATTTTAACCGGTTCTGGGCCTCCCCTCGGTCGTCTCAGCCTTAGACGAGTACCTGGTGCTGTGTGAAAACATCGGCACACTGGGTCGTCAAAGGCTGCCGGGCGTGATGTTGGCCACCAACCCCCTTGTGTGCTGTGCCAACCTTCACAGGTGCTCGTTAATCGCACTTGCCCCAGTCTGTTAAGGGCTACACGGGGGATTTTTGTTATTATGCGGTGCCTGAGCGAGCACGCGTGGGTGTCTGAGTGGTTCTGCGTGGGTGCGTGTATGTGTGTGTGTGCGCGAGCCAGTGGGTACGTGTGCGTGCGCGCGTGTGTGCGTGTTCGTACGCCTGCGTGCGTATCTGAGTTGAGTGCGTAGGGCTGGCCAACTCACCCCCTCAGTGTGATGTGGCCACCGGCCTTCATAGCTATGCGCCAACAGCACTTGCCACCACCCCCCACCGGAAATTCTGTTCCGACGATACGGGGCTATCTTTGTGGGGTCTTTTGGTGTGCGTGCGTCTCTTCTTGATTGCGCGTAAGGGTGTGCGTTGCTGTGCCTCCGTATGGGCTAGCGGAGACTTGGCGCTGAACGGGGCGTGCAAGAAACACGGGGCGGGGAAGAGAAAGAGTGAGAGAGCGAGAGAGCGTGCGAGAGAGAGAGAGAGCGTGCGAGCGTGGAGGGAGGAGAGGCAGGGAGAGAGAGGTGTTGCTAGATGCCTGGGAATCAGTGGCACACACACTCGCTCGCAGATCGGCAACGCGCGCAGTGAGAGAAGGCTGGGCGCGGTCCTCAAGTGCCAAGCGATATTCCGGGTTCGATTCGCGTTGTCTGCGCGTCCCTGCCGTTTAATGTAATCGCATAGCCCGCGACCATTAACGCAGCTACGACAAAGCCAAGTGAAGGTAAACAACAAGAGAAGAAGAATCATTGTCACCGCTCCTGCAACAAGAAGCGCCTCGAGAAAGATAAACAGCAAACAACCTGCCCAGATATCGAGGGAACGATGCCTTAATTATGCCGACACCCCGCTGGGAGAATTAAAGATACGTTTGTGTTTATTTATTTATGAAACACAACTGTGATAATTAGAGCCATTGAGGAAGAAGAGAGAGAGCGAGGAGAGAGAGAGAGAGGGGAGGGCGGAAGGAAGACACGCAAGCCGACTCAAAGCGAGACGACAACTACGCGTGAGCCGACGCTGGGTGCCCGGGGCATGCAGCTGCCCTGTGGCGCCGCTCCACTCGAGGCGTGCGTAACGGGCGTCGCGCCGGACAGGCGCTGTGGACGAGCGGGAGACCAGCTGGCGGCGAGGATGCGGGAGGGCAGACCTCCACTCTTGCCCTTGCACCTCTTGTCCTGGTCTCTCGTCCTCCTCTGCCTCGCTGCACGTGGGCACTCGCACCCGCAGCCCTGCCGCATTCTCAAGCAGATTCGCAGCACCGTCCGCCTCGCAGTGGTTCTGCCCTCCTCCTCCTCCTCCGCCACGCTGCCCTCCTCCTCCTCCTCCTCCTCGGCGCACTCCACGCTGCCCTCGCCGGCCACTCAGAGCCGCTCGCTGGACGCCGAGAGGGCCGTTTGGGCGGCCGCAAGTGATATCAACGCGCGGGGCCTCCTGCCGTATAACATCACGTTGGACGTTCAGACGGCCGGCGGGCTGGGCCAGGGCCATGATCCGCAGACGCTGATGCAGGAGCTATGCCACGGCGTGGTGGTGCACGGCGTGGCGGCGGTGCTGGCCTTCACCGAGTCGCCGCGGCGGTTCCTGCAGTTGGAGATGATGTCTGCCGCCCTCCAAATCCCCTTCATCAGCATCAGCGACCAGGACTACAGCGCCCTGGCGCAGGTGAGCCGGTCGGTCCCTGCGCTGTCACGTCGTGCGCGATGTGATGATGTTCCGTGCGACGTTGTCCTTTGCCCTCCAATTCGTGCCACGTGTTCATAACAATGACCAATTCCACATTCCATTGTTTGTACATCATCATCATCATTATCATCTTCTTCTTCGTCGTCAGCCGTGCTCAATTTACTTCTGGATGAAGGCCTCCTCCGAACTGTCGACAACTCTCACGATCCCCGAATAATCCATACCTAGCACGTGCGCGCGAGCCGATTTCACCGCTCCGTCTACTCGCTGGACGCTTCATTCATTCCCCATTAACTCTAGGATACGTTTCATTCATTCCTCGGCCTCCACTTCGCGTCCTGCCCACGTCTCCCCACTTTTTGTTGATAGTTTGAGCGATTCAATTAACCTCAGCCGGCACGCCACGCTGTTCGAGTGGCGAATACGCATCTCGCACGCCATGTCGGCTTTGTCTACCCTGCCATGCTGATGTTTACTTCGTCGCTGCTGCAGTTGCTGCTGCTGCCGTAACAGTAGCAGGTAGTCGTTTTTTTTGGCGGGGGGGGGGGGTGATTAGGTCTTACCTGGTATGACTGGGACCCGGCTCAGATTGTACCCAGCATTGACGGAGTGCATAGCACATGATTGAGTCAGACCTCGTTCGCCAGGCTTGCGGGGCAATGCGTTGAGTAGCACTCTGTCACTAATAGTCCACCGACACAAAATCTACGGAGTGTTTAACGAACACCGACTCAGAGTTACTGAGCGATGATGGTCTGGACGGGGCCAGAAATCAAATGTGTGGGAGAAATGAGAGCGGAGTTTCTGCTCACAGTGAGAGGCGCATTCGGTTGATTGGTTTCACTCGTAGAGCGGGTTCAGCCTGAAGTTCTACTCTGCTTGGAGGTCTCGTGCTAGACATTTACACGAATAGCCTTCCACACCCAGCAACAGCGAGCCCATTGGTTTCCTCTCTGTGGAGTGTGACGCTAAATCCGAGAGAGAGAGAGAGCGGGTGAAACGCCGCTAGTAATCGGTTACTCGTGTAAATAATAATTATAATGTTTCACGACTAGTTTGTCAATCCACTGCTGTATTGAATGCCTCCCCAAACGTAGTGGGGGGGGGGGGGGTGTTTGACCATACTTCACCATCACGCTGGTCAGTGATGGTATGGTGAAGTGGTGACCTTAAGGGCCGGCTCAGATGTATCACTCGCCACTGGTGTTACGTGTGGGGTGGCAATCGTAAAACTCATGTCCGCCGGCTTCACAGCGCGGCGGTGCGCTAACCAGCTGCGCCACCGCTCCAACGGTTACCAGTATAACATACTGCACGTAGCAGTCACTCGATCGGCCGCTCCACGTCAGGCGGTTGTTTGCTCTGTCGCGTTCACGATTAGTGTGCGTCGCATAATTGTGCGTACTTCGCATTTTCGGCGTGCAACACGCGACCTCTGGCATCATGCACAACCCTGGAATGCGAGTGGCATTGTCAGCCGGGCTTCAGGGACGCGACACATAGGATAATGGTAGATTACATTCAATGGTCTCATGTGTGATTGAACGGGATTCCATCATAGTTGGGGGGGGGGGGGGGGGGGGGGGGGGGGGGGGGGGGGGGGGGGGGGGGGGGGGGGGGGGGGGGGGGGGGGAGGGGGGGGGGGGGGGGGGGGGGGGGGGGGGAAACACGATTGTGTCGCTAATTGGGATAGTTATTTTAGATGTTAAGGTTCATTATAAAAGTATTACTTTTTTTGCGTGTATATTATATATTTTTTATTTAAATTAATTACAGCTCCATTCATTATATTTTATCTCTTGAAATAGCGCACATTTGTTTTCATATTCAAACAGATGTAGAAACAGGTTGCAACCCGAACAATCGACACGCAGTCCAACAAGGAACCACTCAGCGAATGCCCAGTAGAGTAAAGGGGATGAGATGATAATTGTAGCCATAATAGGATCTCCAGCGCCGTGGTAATGTGAAGCCTGGGCACATACCGTAGATAATTGCGCGTGTCGCATCGCGAGCGATTGAGTGACGAAAATAAAACTACAGGCTAGCCGTAGAACTCCTTGACAATGACACCAATAACAGCTAAAGCGTGACAAAAAATGCAAGAGTGCACACACACTTCCAACGTTTGATGACAAAAAGGATTACTGCGTTGACAAAGCCAATGTAGACTCGCGAAGCCAGACTAACACTTTACAGCAGAGAAGCACCCCCTCCCCCCTGACCCGTATTAAATTAGCAATGTTGAAATTTGAAGCGCAACGGGAGGTAGCTCCAGGAAGAACGGAGAGCTAATTTAATTTCAGCACCAGGGACAGCTACTTTGTGGTCGAGAGCCGAGCAGTTTATTCCAACGAAGATTCGCCCGTTGAAAAGAGGCGGGGCAGAGTTGAACTCCAGAGACTCCGTCAAGGTCAAATTGAGGCCGAGTGACCTCTGAATTATTACGAATCACTGCGAAAATTGTACTCTGGGTCTCATCGTGATGCGTTCGAAGTTTTTTTTTTAGCGAGGGCGAGTGGAGCGCTGTCTAGTGGCCAAGTGCTGTTCATTAGCAGGGAGAAGTGGGCGGTACAGCCACCTAGCGGTGCTGCTATATCAGATGCTTTATCCATTACGTCGAGAGATTCGTGTTTGACATTTAAGTGGAATTAACATTTCATTGCAGTTTCATCACCCCCCCCCCCCCACCCACATCACCCCCGGCAAAATGATTTGTATTCTTGATTGTGATATTGGGCCCATTTAATATACGAGTATAGTATGAATGTTTCTGGCCGTATATGTACGGTATGTCAAAGAAAAACCTGGCATTGTAATCATAAAAAAACACTGAAACAACAGGAATAACTTGTTTGCGCAATAGCCTACTTGCTGCGCTGTCACTCCAAGGCAAAATAGTTTTTTTTCCCAGCTTGGAGATGATAAATTGAAATGAATTAAACTCGACGGCCTGGCCATGTTATTCTGTTTGCAATACCTCTGTTAACTGTTCTCACTTAGGCGGAAGACAAACGTCTTTACTACCGACTCTAAAATGACCCTAATAATTTCACCTTTTACTGCGTGGAATATTCTTCCGTGTACGCTCTTGTTAACTCACTGACGAATGAACTCTGGTTGCACAGAACACTGCTGATCATCGCCCTGCAAGGCCAATGCATTCTCGGAATACAAATGAACGCTTAAATGTCACCTAAACACGCGCGATCTCCTTAATTGAGCTGTTACCCTTGTGTAGCAATTATGCGTTTACACCTGTTTTTCAGTGATTGTGTACATCGCTGTAAAAATTGTCCAGAGAAAAAATAACGTAGTCGTCATTAATATGTCCCCCAATTAAAATACTGTCTTCTAGGTATATATAAAAAAATAATTGGTGAAAACATAAATTAATCGAGAATGAAACTGTTTGCCAAGGATCATTGTGGGCAGTGGCCACTAAAATCTTACCAATTAAACGTGCAAAATGTTATATATTGATACGATTCCCGGCAGTGGCAAACACAGCGTTACTTAACAAAGGTCTGGTGTTCCATTAGCAATATATCCTGACCATTTCGCTCATTACAGACTTGTCATATATGTTATGGTTGCAGGCCATAAATTGCGTCTGCTCCTTGTCCTCGCGCGCAGGGTGCAATGTAATGGATACGTTTGCTTCAGTTGAGTATTAAAGGTTGTATTATTCCACTTGAACCTTTAAAATGATATTTATCAAACCACTCTGTCAATGAGAATGAGTTCAATGTCACTCAATGTGCCTGCCCTTTCTTATAGATGTCAAGATGGTAATCTCTAGGAGAAACACTCCGATTACACTCATATCAGTTATCTATGGTAGGCAGCGCCATGGAGGATCCATTAAATACTCTCTCTCTCACGCTCTAAACAAAGTGGGCCCTTTTAAATAATCAAAGTGGGTATATAAAAAAACAAAGGTAACGGTGCAACCCTGAAGTTTCTTCTTCACACCACTGCTGGAAGAAGCGCATCCGCTGAAGGGAGATCCCGAAGGAGCCCTTCGAGAGAATGCGTTGGCCTACTCTTCCACGCTTTGGTCAGACATCTTAGAAGTGGTGGCGAGTACCCACACTCTGTCCCACAAGGCACCAGGGCAGCAAGCCCCTGGGTTCTTGTAACCTCTCAAAACTCGATAACTCGTGAACCTGCAATCTACGAACAATACAAATTAAAATATCCAATGCACTTTGCCATAGCCTGACATTAACAATAACTGCACATGACACGCGCGGGAATTATGCATTCATGGCTTCGTGTGCAGGTCAGGACATTTGCCGACGCAGCTACATTGAGAAGACACAGGTTGTGCAACGCATAAACATTATGGGGGGGGGGGGGGGGGGGGGGCGCACATCCTCTGCAATCCAGCGCTGGTGGAGGCAGCGAGGGTTGGTGGGTCACGCTACTGCTGTGACAACTCCCCTTCCTACGGGTGTCGAGCAGGTGCCACACCCTGGCTCGCCAGGAGAAGGTAGTACAGCAAGTTCAGACTCATCTCCATCCATAATCGAGGTTTTTGGGTTTGATCGCGTAAATACAAATGCGCCGTTAAACCTGCCACCAAACGACACAGCCGATTAGTAAGGGTTGCAACGTAAACAAATCTAGCCAATTCGTTACTAGTACAGCACGCCGCTGTGTTGGAGAGTAAAGTCACAACATTTTTCATTCGAGTACGACGTTTCGCCAGTAATTACAACCAGCATCATCAGGCGAAAGCCAGAATCTCCATCTGCGCCTTCTGTGTGGGATACAGCGTTGCCCGTCTCCCTCACACACGTGGGGTGTCTCCACCTGTTCCAGTTTCATCACACTTCGTTGTATAAACAACTCAGAAGTTGGCTGATTTTTTTTTTAATTCGAAATAAAATAAACAATATAGCAGGACCATCTTGGATAAATCAGTAATTGTAAATTTTGTATGGTAATGACGTAAGGATTGGTCGTGAAGTCCT